CACTACAACAAAAAAGGTAATTAGCTACAAATTTTTTGACGAGGAGCAGACAACTCGACGCTGCTAATGTGCAAATGACGAGGAACAGAGCATATTCTCACCAAATCTTGGAGACAGCATGATTTTTGCTAGCATTATGACTTTCCTCGCTTAACATCCTCGCCAAAAAGGAAGGCGGGAGAAGCTTCCCTCCAAATTCTAGTCATAGTGTCGCAGAGCCTTTTGGGTATTGGCGAGAATTCTTGCAGTTCCATACTGATGTACAACACTTGGTGAGGACAGGTTCTCGCCAATCCTTTAAGAGGTCTCAAAAATTTTTTTAACCATTCCCGGCACAGCACTTGCAAAGGATAGTACCACATGAATTCCAAGCCTTCCATACTTGCAAATGCTACTTTCCCAAATATTTTTCTCAGATCAGAGCCCTCAAAAGTTCAATCTCCACCTCCCCTGCACCTTTCTCCTTTTATCTCTCTTCCCCACTCTATCTATTTTCAATTTCCCGTAGACATGTGGTTCCCCCCTTCCTCTCTAGCATCCAGATCTAAATTTATACAATCATGAACACACTTTAAAGACCCTTTCGATGCAATGGCAGACTTCAAGGAAAATCGATGGTGCGGGTTTTTTAAGCAGATATGTTATTTTCATCTCTGTTTTGTCAATTGCTTTTTTCTTGCATTTTTGGTCAATTTAACAATCGCAAGATAAACTTTTTGAATTTGTAGGCTTCTACTACAATGGATTAGAGTGAATGGCGTCTCAGTTGGAGTAGAGAAAGGGGTCTTACTGGAAGGCAAAATGAAAACAACCTGTCAAAATTTCAGATCAAAGATTTCAGGTAGTCTCCAGCATTTTTTTATACTAGAATTCTTCCCTCCCACAACTTGATTTTTCCCCTGCTTTGTCTTGTTGTTCAATCTCCTCTCTTTAACACTCTCGCTCGCATTCCTCCATTCCTCTCGTTGCCCAGCCCTTTCGTTGTCCTAAACCCTCTGTATCTTACACAATTTTTGAATGCAAAACATTTATTATGACATGTTCTATGTTTCAAGCCTTATTTATTCGATGACTTAACTGAAATTTTGGATGGTTTTCTACTCCGGTTCGTGATTAGGATTGATGGTGTAGTTGGTTTTGCTTGTCTTTGGACTGGTTTGTGGTGTTTCATCATTATATATTGTTTTGTGTTTTAGTGTTGTAGGACCAACATTCGTGAAGCTTTTTTTTCCCCTTCCTTTGGGCTAATTCTGATGCTTTCATTGCACTGCATGTGATTCTCTTTGGAGATAAGTTCTTCTCATCCTGAATGCTTGTGCAAGTTTTAATGCATTTGGTCTTTTTGCTTTTTGATGATTTAACTAAATTTTTTTCTTAATTCTTAACTAAAGATCTAGTAAATAGAATATAGTTTTCTTTTAAGTGAACATACTGGACAAAAATAATAAGGATTGGAAAAAAAGGATCTCATTGGCTATTTGCACCTTAGAAGCCTTGTTGGCCGTAAAATCTAATTCCTTTTCCAAAGTCCATTTCATGCTTGCCTTGTGCTTTTATGTTAAACGGTGCAACATATAGAATTAAACTGAATTTTGGACAGAGCAATTAAGGTTGGAAATGAACAAGATACAAACTTTGTATTTCAAAATGCTCATTCCAAGCTTCTATTGAGTGAATCTTCTAGACAACTCATTGTCTTTTAGTGTATTTGCTGCACTTTATACCTTATAATTATTTAGACTTTTTACCTCAACCTGCATTATGTATACTTGCAAACATATTTGATTACTTTTGAATCTATTTGTACCTTAAGAGTTAAGGCTTCTTAAAGTGTATATGAAAAGGGTTCCGAATGTTATGCTTGCTTACCTACTTCTCAATTTTGATTTGAGCTGCAATGGGTGAATGCATTCACTATTTTTGTGTTAAAGAAAACAGCCTTGGCGTCACCTTACAATTGGTTTCATGTCAATTCTGGTCATAACGATTTCTTCATCTTAAGCACATGCTACCAACTTGTAGTTCAAAATTCAGTTCACATTTTGTACTTGTGTGGTTAATAAAAGTGATCCTTGGCATTTCTTTTTAAGTCCCTCATTTTAAGTTCATTTCTTTTCATGCAACAATATGAGGATCAATGTCTTAGTTGATAAATGTAGGCAAATGCAGGTTTAATTTATCTAATTACCAATGTAAATTTCTGTTTAATACTTTTTTTCCATGGACTCTGTAGGTTGATGGTGGATTGTAGTGAACCTGGCTATGAAGCTCTTACAAGCCACTTTGATTATAGACTTCGCCAGTTAATGCAAACATGGTACTCATTGTATGTCAGCACAGGGTCTATCTTGGCATTTGTTATCCCTGGCAATTTTGGTTGTACATATTAAAGCCTAATTAGGATTTTGATTTGAGTATCTTTGTGCTTTGTACTGTTGATAGTATTGGTTGTAATATAGGCCTTGTTTGGCAGACAAGTTTTTGTAAAGTTTATTTACTACAAGTTTTTTAAAAATTTTAGCTACAGTAATCTCAAAAAACTTTTCAAAGTTTTTAAACTATACACTTCAAAATATTCAAAAAAAAAAAACACACTTCAAAAATTTTTTTAAAAACTTCTACAGTAAGTTATAGTAAAGTTTTAAACAAACATCCAAAAAACTCACTTGCCAAACGGGGCCATATTGTTGCTCATTTTGTATTTGTAATGACAATTTGGTTTGTTATTTCGTATAAAATTTTTGCTATATCTCAGTATTGACAATGATACCTCTTGCTAAAACAATGGTTGGAGAAAAAGTAGCAACCACAGTCACAAAGCTTTTGGCAACTTTCTTGCAAGAAAATCATCTAGCTGCATTTGATGGTCTTTGGTGAGGGTTCGATGGTTTCTAATTAGAGAAGAAACTTTCCTTGCCAAAAGTGTCTTATTGGTTTGGGGGATTGCAATTTTTTCAGAAGATTCCTTGCCAATTCTATATTATTGGTGAGGATGTGCTATCTTTCCTCGCCAAACACCTTGACCAGTCGCAAGGAATTGCTGATTTTTGTGGGGAGTTTTTGACTTAAATGGAGAGAAAAGGTTTCCTTGCTATAGTATTCGAGCCATTAGCAAGGAGGTTCTACCCTTGCTATTGATCTGTTTCATTAGCGAGGAAGGTAGCAACATCCTCGCTAATGACTTTTAGCGACGAGCATCTAGCGAGAAACTTGGCGAGGAAGCATTTTTCTCGCTAAAACTAATTGGCGAGGAAATCAAAACTTTTGGCGGGAACTTTTGTTCCTCGCCAAATCCCTTTTTTGTTGTAGTGATTGTACACATAAAATGATGTCATTATTATAAAAAACTAAATAAAGATTATTTTTATTATGAGTCTTTTTTTTTGTAGTGTAAAGGTATTGAAATCATTTCCTATTCAAGTAGTAATCAATTTTGTGATTTAGTAACTTTGAAATATTTGTACCATAGGAGAGATATCTAAAATAAATTGATTGCTAAGGGAGATAATGTGCCGGAAATGAGAACTTCTCATAATATGGAGGGTAATGTTAAAAAAAGAGAGTATTTTTCAAAACTTTGGTTGGGGGGGGAAGGAGAGAGAGGCATATATAAGTAAAAACTAACATTGTTCAAAAGTTTCAAAACTATTCTCTAAAATTCAAAAGTTGAGGGGAGGGGGGAGGGAGGCAATTGTCCACCCTAAACACCACGTGGCTCTACCACTAGTTTTGTAATTAATCTTTTAATTTTGTGACCTGCGTGTTAATGTTGTTAAAACCCTAAATTTGGGTTCTAATACTTCTTTTGTGGCTGTTTTGTATCTCAAGCCTATTTCATCACGTTTAGAAATGACAATCCTGGAGTATTGATCATCTACTCTGCTTTAGCTTTACTAATTATTAAGAATTTTACTACCACATAGTGAGATGACTACAAGAGTTCTAGCAAATAAAGGCCATATTGTTCATAATTACTATTCATCTCCACTGTGTCTAATTTCTATTAAGTGCATCTATTCTTTTATGCTAGGTTATAACTGCAAAAATTCACTAAATGCCCAATAACTGATTAAAATACGATTTTTATTTATTAAAAAAATACCATTAACTAAAGCTCCTTATAGCATTAGCGTTGTTCTTGTAGTTATCAATTAAAATGACAGGTTATATACATTACTTATTCTTTTTTTTTTAACAACTGTTGTCAAATTACTTCTCGGCACGTACATATATTATATTGACTTTCAACAAATTATCAAAGATAAAACATAATTTTTCAAAAATCCAACTCCTAAAAACAATAGTCTACTTCAGTCAGCAGGGACACATTTAACAAATTATTAGAGTAAGAGCACAATTCTTAAAATTCTTTATACCTGCAATTGGATCTATCCTTTGGCCAATTGTGTTTTTCCTAATCTTGGTTGACATTGTTTGGTTGAAAACATGAAAATTTTTATGGATCGAATTTCATTATCAAACTTAGAGATGAAGGTTGAATTCAGAGACCTAATTGATAAAAAAAATTAATTAAAGAGTAAGAAAAACCATGTTCTTTATGTACTCAACATAGCAAAAATGAGTTAAATAGTTTACAGCTAATGTTAATGATATTCACCGTTGACCTATCTAAGCAATTTTTGGCAGTATAGACTCTTTATTTTGAAAATATCTAACAAAATGATTGAAGAAATTACTTATATAAGAAATCTTAGCACTTCCTATTTCCGTTTCTTTTCCTTCAAGTTGAAGTTCATGTTCTGGAGTTGACTAAGACCAAGTCTTGGCCGCAGAAAACGAAAAATCAATTGGAAACTGTATACATAGAATATGCTATGCTATAGAGTCGCATCTATCAAGGCTTAAATTTTCAATATCAATTTGTTTGAGCAAAATTGAGTAAAGAAACTTCTCCATAATTTTCGTCAAAATTTATTGTCCGGAGTAAATTTCTCCTGCAAGACTACGTCACTCGAGTCCTACTTCCAATAATCACAGCAATGTCAGATTACATTCCAAATCATTTGCTTGCAAATGTACTTTTGAGGTTACCATTTGATTCTCTGCTACAATCTAGGCGCGTTTCAAAATCATGGCGTGCTTTAATTGATAGCTCAGATTTCATCAAAATACATCTCAATAAAGCCAACCAAGAAGCAAATTCCCCCAGTGGGATCAAAATAATTGGCCTAAACCAGAACAACTTTTACACTTTGGTTTTGGATCTTGAAGCTGATAGCTCCAGTATTACCGCAAGTGCCAAACAGCTCAACGGCCCTTCGGATTACTCTGGAAGTGAAGTTTGTTTGAAAGGCTCTTGCAATGGACTTCTTTGTCTGATGTATCCAGACACAGACAAAATTATTTTGTGGAACCCATGGATTCAAAAGTCTTGGGAATTACCCTCTTTCCCAATTGAATATCACACCCGTGGTAGTGCTATTTTTCATCTTGGATTCGGGTATGACCGTGTGGATGATGAGTACAAAGTTTTGAATAGGACTAGTTTTCAGATCTATGTGATAGAGATCAATCGAGTTGGTATGATGTAGTCTACGTTTATAGCTCAAAGCAGAACTCATGGAGAAGGATGAAGCATTTTCCATTTAAACAGTCGAACTACCACTGTTACTGTGCCCCAGATTGTGTCCTTGCTAATGGTGCATTACACTGGTTAATGAGGGAAAGGTGATCGAATGGTCTTATCTGCATCATTTCCTTTGATCTTAGCAGCCAAGAATTTCAGAAAATGCCTTGTCCAATGATTCCATGGCCTCTAGGTTATTTTCGGCATAAATTGAAGGTCTTGAATGGATCCCTTTGTTTAGTATTGTACTATGACGTAGGTGGAGGATTTGGTGCTGATATCTGGGTGATGGAAGATTATGAAGTGGACAAATCTTGGACCAAGTTAACTTCAGTTACAATGCCTGGTTGGACATTTTGGAGCTTGACGCCTCTAGCTTTATCAAAGAACAATAGGCAATTACTTTTGCAGATTGATGGAGTAAAGCTTGTTCTTCATGATCTTGAAACAAAACGTATTAGTGATTTAGCCACTAGAGGTGATGTAAGTTTTGTTCAATCATCATGTACATGTATTGGAAGCCTTGTTACGCCTTTTGGAACAGATTAGATTTTCAGAATGAGTTGTTTCTTTTGCTTTTATGCGTGATGTATTCTCAGTTGAAGTTTTGTTGTTGATGAAAATTGTGGTTTCTAAAACATGAAAGGAGACTAGTTTCTTTGGATGGTATTGTTGTATTTAGGTACCTCTGAGTATGAAGTTCAAAATTCAACAAATCTTGATGTTCCATAGCACTTGCGCTGACAAGATTTGCTAGATTTACTTCCTTACACTTTTCCTGACAAAATTGCATAGGTCTATAATCCTTTTAGTTTGACTGTGATAACAAAAAATGCAGAAAAATAGAAAGGTGAAATTTGTCATAGTGTGTTTGGTCAAGAAAACTAACTACAGCTACAGATCCAGTAGTGTTGAAAACCGCATAGCAATTGTGGCGCATATCAATAATGCAATTGCTGATGAAAACCGAATAATCAGTAAGCATGTCACAAGTTACCTATCTCTTGTTCCGTTTTAATACCTAAAGTTTTAACAAAAATAAATTCGGTCCTAATGTTTGGCGCTAGGTGCAATTTGACACGGAAGCGGTAGGAAGAAATTGTTTCATGAACGATTCCCAAAAATAACAGAGGAGTGATTCACGATAAACTTTTGGAAAGATTTGAAAGAACCTTGTTTCTCAAGAAGCTTGAGAGAAATTTAGTAAAAACCAAGATAACTTGATAAAAGTTGATAAAAATCAAATAACAATAGCCCTAGTATGCCTATATATAGGTAACAAATTCAAATTGAAAAAGGAAACGAATTACAGCTGAAAGTGGAAAAACAAAGCACAAAATGACCCATTAGTGATAATGTCTGGCACCGGTGATGATGCTGGTCTTCAAGCTGAAAATTTTCTGAAGTTCATCAATAGGATGTCCAGTGTCAGTCATGAGGCCAAACTTGGCGTTAGATTTCCTCTTAAGTTTGTCTCGCATCGCTCAGCGATGCCTTTCTTCGTTCAGTTCCTCTTGTCCAAGAAGTCATGTGCAACATGCTCTACATTTGTCTCTTCCATTTAAGAAGACCTCGCCCTCGAGTTCTCTTGGAAATCTATATATAAAGGCGGCTCTGAAAGGGGAATAGAAATAAAGGCCCGAGACATTAAATATACGTGAAATACCCATACAACTTAGCAAATCAACCACATAAGCATTAGGATTGATTCGTTGAAGAATCTTGTAACGTCCATGCTTCATTGGTTGTAGCTTGTGATATTTGCCAACAGAAAACCTCTCCTTATGCAGAAGAACTATCACCTCATTACCTGCTTCAAATGTTTACCTGCAGAAGCTTTGAATTTAGCATTAGTTGCCTCCAATTTCACTTTCGCCTCTACTTGTATAGCTTGCGAATCCTTAACCATATTCCTCGTGGCAATGCTATAACTTGAAACATTTAGATGCTGCACCAAATCCAATGCATGTCTAGGAGGTTGAACATATATAATAGAGAATAGAGACCAACCAATGGAGCCATCAATTACGCTATTAAAAGCAAACTCAGCCTAGGAAAGAGCATGATCCCACTATTTAGGTCGCTCTCCACATATGCAATGCACCAAATTCCTTAAAAGATCAATTGGCAACTTCTTTTTGACCATCTATTTTAGGCTGAACAGTGCTGCTAAAGTTCAACGATATGCCAAACATCTTTCACATGGTTAGAAATGGCCGGGGAACTTGGTATCATAGTCAGAATGTAATGGATTTAGGCAGTCCAAACAAGTGAACAACTTAATAAAAGAACAAACAAGCAATGTGTGAAGCATCCAAAGTCTTACTGTATGGAATGAAGTGTACCATCTTTGAAAACCTGTCCACCACCACAAATACCGAATCCATTTCTCTTTGAGTCTAAACAATCCAAGCACAAAATCATTGAACAAATCTTCCCATATGCCTTCAGGAACCGGTAAATGTGTATATAACCAAGTATTTTGTGATTGACCTTTTGCTACCTAACAAGTATAGCATTTACGAACAAACCCACATACATCCCTCTTTAATTGAGACCAATATAATATGCTTCAAGACTAGAGATAGTCTTGTCAACACCTAAAAGTCCACTAAGACCTCTATCATGCAAACACGAATTAACTTTTTATGCAAAGAAACAGGGAATGCAAAGACGATTACCTTTAAAGAGATAACCGTCAAAGATATGAAAGTCATCCTGTGTTGCTTTGGTCTGACATGCAAGCTACACCTCCTTGAAGTCATCATCATTAACGTAGAGTTCCTAGAGAACTTCAAACCCGATGACCTTATGGCTCATGGTCACCATCAAGGTCGCTCGTCTACTCAAAGCATCCGCCATCTTATTTTGTTACCCAATCTTGTGCTTCAAAATAAAAGAAAATCATTGAAGATATGCTACCTAATAAATATGTATCTTGCTAATTTGCTTCTAATTGTTGATGTACTTCAAGGCTTGGTGATCAGCATATAAAACAAACTAATTCAAGATCAAGTAATGCTTCCAATGCCTCAAAAACTTTTGACGAACTTCACTTAACTTCTTACTAAAGAAATCCACTAGCCTCCTTTCTTGAGACAAAATAGCTCCAATCCCAACATTGCGTGCATCACACTTGACGGGAATTTTTTATCAATGTAAGATTAAATCTGATTTTATACCCGTTGACTGCAAGTATACAGGCCGAAATCGTAATGTAGGGTATGTATCGGGTTGATCCCACGAGAAACAAATTAAACAAGTACTAGGCCCTTATTTTTCTCTATTATTTAGACTTACAGTAAATCTGAGCAAGAAAATTATAATGCTATTGTCTACAAATCTGGTTTAATCAATGTTAAATGCAAATGGAGAAATTTCACTAAAGATTGAATTTAGGGATGTAGATTCCACTTATGGCATAAACAACACAAATAAATGGATTTACCTCTTATTATTATTCTTGTTTAACTAGGGATTCATTTCTAATATTAGCAAACTTCATTCTCATGATAAAATGGCTTAGAGTAGTCCAGTTTTCCCTATTGTCATGGTGAAATACTACTACTACTCTGTTTTCTTTCATGAAATGCTAAGTAATCCACTTAAGTGCATCTCTATTTTCATGAACATACAACTTAAGCTCTACTCATGTGTTTCCATTGTTACTATCAATTCTCATTGAACAATAACAACTATAAACATGCTATTGGTGATCAAGCAATAACAAGTAATTACTACATGCACAAATAGACGAGTTAATACAAGATATAACAAGTGTAAATCACCTTCAATTTATCTCATTTAGCCATAAGTTTTATCTACTCCCTAGATTAAGAAGTTTAGCTACTCATGAATGATTTAACAATCAAACTCACAAGTTTATTAATGCAAAACATCATAAAGTACAAGTACAAGAAAGATAAAAGAAAGCTTAGCCAATTGATGGTGAAGCCCTCCAATTTCTGCTATGCTCTTGTACAAGATGATTACAAGTGAAAACTCCAAATGCTTCTCAAAGAACTCCTAACTAGAGAGAAACTAGTTACTAGAAGAAAAACTAGCTACATAAGGTGATGCCTGACTTTTCCTTGTGTCTCTACATAAAAGGTGGTAGAAAGACACCTTTTTTCTCCTTCATGATTCCAACAACTCAGATTTTTTAAAGAAAGTCAAAAGCAATGTTGTTTGACTTGTCAATAACTCATTTTGTCTTCCCTTTTGTTGCAGAAGCATGTGCCACCGAATTCACTCACTCAAGATAACTGGAAAGTTGTGTGAAAAGTGAGAAAAAACGGTTGTGCCACTTACAGAAGAGAGAGGCAGATCCGAGCCTCGGATCCGAGGGGTGCAGAACGATCTGAACTCGGATCAAGGCTGATCCGAGGCCCTTCTCTAATGATCCGAGCTCGGATCATTTGGCCTCGGATGCATTGCTCCAGAAGTACAGACGAGGGTTCGGATCGCCCTTGATTCACACGGATCCGAGCTCGGATCCGTGCTGGTCTTTTTCCAGTTTTTCACTTCTTTTCCTTTTTCTTCATTTTTGCTCCTAATTTCTTGTGTACTTTGTGACGCCCCGAAAAAAAAAATGAGTTTGAGAACCCGGAAATTTTCTAATTTTCTAGGGTTTATTTTTTAAACGCCCGCCTTTTCTACATTTTCTTTATTAGAAAAAATTTCCCAGATAAAGTTTATGAGCAAAGATAGTTTTAAAATGATTTTTTAGTATCGGTTAGTTTTTGAGAAATTAAGAGCGTATTTTGAACATGGGACCCGCAAGTGCGGTAAATGCATTATATTTTTGACAACTTGTTGGAATTTTGTATTAAGTGATATTATTTTACAATGTGTTAAGATATTTGTATTGGAGAGACAAAAAGATAAGTTTTAAACCTAAAGGTGACAAGTGTCACTTTCTTACTCAAGGGTGGACTTTGACCATTTTACTACCTTTACTAATTGATTAAAAACTTGACCCAAAATTCATCTTCTTCATAAGCTCCTTGGCCGAACCTCTTGGAGACAAAAAGAGAGAAAAGCTTCCAATTTCTTCCTTCTATTTCTTGCCCAATCTCACAAACCAACCGTTAAAACCGTGATTTGCTCCATAAAAACCTTTCTCTTGGTGGTATTAAGGTGTGTGGTGAAGTGGTTTGAGAAGCAAAGGTGCTAAGTTGGGTCTTTCCTTGGGTTTGCATGGTAAGTGACTAAGGAACCTTTCCTTTGATCTTGATAATGTTCAATTAGTGATTGGTGGTGGTTGAATAAGTGATTTTATGGATGATTTCATGATTTTGGTTGAAATTAGTGAAGTTTTATATTTAATTAGGATTTTTCTGTTCTCATATGATTGTTATTATGTGGTTATGTATGATGATTGGAAATGATAGTTGAGGAAGCTAGAAGGTGGAAAAAGTGGAAGATTGCAAGTAAATTCTGTTTTGGAAGAAATCTGGAAAATTAGGGTTCTTGGTTCTTCATTCTGTCCGAAATTTTTGGTCCTAGATAGAGGCCGAATTGGCCTTGGCTCAAAACATGAAAGTTGT